TTAGTTGTGTATATAATGTCAATAAACCTTAGAAATTTTGAAATCTTGAAAGGGATATGCAAAATAGCCATTATATACAGTCTTTAATTAACTATTAGTAGAGAATAACGAGTAATGAATATACTTTATAGGGATCTGCAGATAAATGTTTAGTCTTCTCAAGCACCAACTATCAAATATCTCTCCTGATTGTTGGCATTTGACAATCACCTCCCTGAATTTTACTCAGATGTAACTAAAGCCTGATTTAAGGGTTGTTTATATTTCACATCATTAATCAGAATCTGCAAAGTAACTAAAATAAATGTAGTGGAGTAAAAATACCAGGTTAACCTCTGAATTGTAGTGGAGTAGAATTGCTGTTTTGTTTAGTAATGGATATTTAATATGGAATAAAGGTTTTGACAAGACCTAGTGTAACCATAATAAAAAAGGACATTAAAAGAGCTCCAGATGTTAATTATCTAAACAAAACAGCACACCTGAAATGTATATTTAAATACTTTATTAAGGGCAGTGAATTAATTAGTTCTGTATGTTTTTCAAATCAGTGTTATAAGTGTCATAGACAGTATTACATTGCTATTATTATCTTTAACATATATGTAAAACAAAACCACTTATGATCTTTTTATTTGAGTGGTTTACTAATGACAGTTAATTCTGTTTTTGCTATTGATGGTTTCATTTTTGTGAAAAATAATAAAATAATAAAATTCAATAACGTGCTTTAACCACTAGGTTTTTATGATTGATTGATTGATTGATTGATAGGTGTCCCTTTCTATCAGCTGTGCACCGTTATGCTGTAAATACAGCCTATCTACCAATTGGATCAAATATAAAAGTCAGCCGAATTAGTGTTGATACTGCAAGGAGACGTATTGTGTGAAAATAAATGTAAGATGTTGTTTAATTGCTGATATCAGTCTGTCACGTTTTCAATTTTGGCGGCAGTTCTTCCTGTTTGTCTATAGTCTTCTCATCAGGGCTCTATAAATAGAGAACTACGGCAGATATGTCATATTTAATTCAGCCGAACCGTGTATTACAATGCCGTTATGTGATGACTTTCAAAGAGAAAAGCAAGCACACTCGGAATAAAGTATTATCTTATGCTTTTGTTACAGCAGCATGTACAACGTGCAATCATACTTTGTTCTACTCCACTACAATTCAGAGGTTAACCTGGTATTTTTACTCCACTACAATTTTTTTAGTTACTTTGCAGATTATGATTAATGATGTGAAATATATACAACCCTTAAATCAGACTTTAGTTACTGAGTAAAATTCAGGGTCAAGTGCCAAAATAAAGTATGCAATATATTAGACGTTAAGTACTTTGTCAGGCTTAATATTTATCTGTAGATACCCCCAAAGTTTTTTTCTTATTCAAAAGAAGACCTTAACTTAAAATATTCTTTAATGTTTAAATAAAACCTTATTAGTTTGTCTGTTTTGCACATCCTCCTATTAATATCTTTGGACGTCCTGCACTAGCTGTTTTATTTTAGAGGTCACTACAGTATCTTCTTGATATTTTCTATTCTATATTTCTATCATTGACCTTCTACTTTCCCCCTATTTTGTATATAGGCTACTCTTAATATTTAAATGTTTTCATCAAATATAACGTATTCAATAAAAAATGCAATAACGTGCCACCACTAGGCGGTGTGGGTTAAAACAAACTGTCAAGTTTACAGTGTTGACACAATAAATTATACTTTATGAAGAAGTTACAAATAACACACAGCATACAATGCCATAATAACTTTGTATTATTAGTGTAGGACACTTATGTCCGTATAACATCTGAAGATGTGTTGTTGTATTCATGTTTTCACAATTATACAGGATATTGCTATATTATTTCACATATTGTAGTTCTACACATTAATATCTGAGGTATATCCGTCATTTAATGGTAAGCTATTGAAATTCTGATTTCATAGATGTGTCTCCCATCACCCAAAACCCCTGACTATTCTCTCAACTCAGTATTTACATTATTTAATTCAAAGAAAATCAGTAATATCTTTAAAAACTAACAGTCCTTTTAAGCTGTGCACCGTTATGGTGTAAATATAACCTACTTACCAATTGGATCAAATGTAAAAGTCAGCCAAATTACTATTGATACTACAAGGAGACGTATTGTGTGAAGAGAAATTGAAGACGTTGTTTAATTGCTGATATATTTATGATCCACGTCACATATTCAGTTTCGGCTGCATTTCTTCCAGTTTATCCAGAAGTCTTGTAATCAGGGCTCTATAAATAGAGAACTACGGCAGATGTGTAATATTCAATGCAGCCGAACCTTGTATTACAATGCCGTTATGTGATGACTTTCAAAGAAAAAAGCAAGCACACATAAAGTATTCTTTTCATGTTTTTTTTATGTTTTAGCCTATCAAAACCACTGAAAAAAGAAATGTGTCTCTCAAAATCGAAAGGGAAAAATCAATGGGAAAAACACAAAAGCAGTGTACACAATTTAAACCAATTAATGTTGTGTAATTAACAAGGATAAACTGATGTATTTTAGTGGATGAGTACAGCAGATATCACTGTGAAATCATTTGACAGTAAGGGGAATACGGTTTTATTATGAAAACTTCGAGACCGGAAATACTGTTTTCACCCTGTGAGTGACGCTAACTTTACATAGGGGGAAAGACATACACGGTCTCCTGGCGAGACCTCAAATAACCTTCATAATATCTATCAAACTATAGATCCTACACATCCACTGGACGTGGATTCTAAAAGTACAATATACACTTCTCGCTAGAAATCTAATCAAAAAGCATTTTAATGGCCAAACTATTCTACAATTTAGGATTTTCCAGAGAGGGTTATTTGTAGGGATGCACGATAATTATCGGCCCGATAATTATCGGTCCGATATTAGGAATTATGACGTCATCCCGATAAACCCGATACCAGTATTAATAGCCCCGATAATATACAATATATTTTTTGGGTAAAAAAATACTGCGGTGTGGGTGGATTGGGATGAGGGGCGCTTGTTTTTCACTCGGCTCCTCCCGTTTCGCCAGTACTGTGGTATTAGTGGTTTAGGAAGAGGGGAGTTTTTCACAAATCCAGCGCTCCCTAACTCATGCCTGGCTGTGACGTAAATGGTGTGCGGCCGTGAAGCCAGGACAGTAAACAAACATGTCGTCGGTGGTATGGGCGTTGGAGCTATGTGCAACTCAAGGCATATGCTCGAACCGGAGCTGCCTGGACGCTGCAATCATGTTGCACACTATCCGTGCTGAGTGTGCTGACTTTTCGTACAATGTCCCACTGTCTGGCTTCCTGCATAAAGTCAAGTGCTCGGCGCAGTTGTGGCGAAATGTCGCTCCTCTGTTTTCATTTAAACAGCTCCGTATATCCGTTAGCGCAGCTAGCTAGCACCAGATGCTAACAATAACAATGCACATAAGGTCTCTCTCTCGCTCGCTCGGGCCACACATACACACACCCTCCCGGTCCTCCCAACAGCCAGTCGGTGCCTGCCGGTGAGCGTGGAAGTGTGGTCTGCCACAAGCGGGCGACAGGAGCGGGGCTGTCAGCATCAGCTTGTAGATGGTATTTTAAACTCGATGCGCTCTGAAACTACGGGGCGGCCGAGGAAAAAAAATACACATGCATTAATCACGTTAAAATAATTAGTGGCGTACATTTTTTTTTATTATCGGTTATCGGTATCGGTCGGTCTTTAGAAGCAGGAAGTTATCGGTATCGGTATCGGTTTCAAAAAACCAATATCGTGCATCCCTAGTTATTTGTGAAAATACGACCCTCCGGAGCGTTTGCAATTGCCGCAAATTGTTGTTTCTTACACGACCACTAGTGGTGGTAAACTTTAAAACATGACTATAGGTCGTAATAAGCTGCTGAACAATCAACCTATTTGGTCGTATGAGTTGGAGGACTTGTTGCTTAATTTTGCTCTTAAAGTGCACCAGATTGATGCATTTAACTTCAATATTTAAAAAATATATATTCCCGGGGGAGCATGCCCCCCTAGAGGATGTTAGGTCCACCCCCCACTTGTAAAAAATAGCACTTTACCCCTGCTTACACCTATGCTGTGAGCTGATTATTGAGCCTTCATTGTAACAGTCGCGGGTGTACTGTGTATGTGCGTGTGGGAGTGTTGCAGTAGAACATTCCACTGTAGTGCCCAGTACCTTAATGGGAAAATTAGCACCCCCAAAAGAAAATCTCTGAGCCGCCACTGTGGGCTAAGCCCCTAATGTTTTCAGGTGCAGGAAACGCCCCTGCGCTTGCTAATGTAAACAAAGACCATATTACGGCCAAAACACGTCGGGCATTGTTTCTGATAGCGACGTTTCTGATAGGGCCGTGGGTGTAAAGCTAGCCCACATTTCCGATATTACGTCATATTGGACGTAAATCTGGATCAGCTCCGTTGTAGACCCGTTTTTAGAGATGTGGGTACGGAGGAAAAGAGAGAGGGTTGTATTATCTGACACTTTGGGAGTTCCCTGACACATCGGGGACACATATTTATGTATAAAATACATACAAAAGTGCATTTCGCATGATAGGACATCTTTAAAGCTACATTAGCACACAAAATACATGCATTTAGATTTTTTTTTTTTACTGAATTGACCTCAACACAGGTTTCAAATACTTTTACCTTGAGTCACACTACAGTATGTCTGAATCAAGGAACAGTGATTGACTTTTCAATTGTAGCCATGCAGTACACCTGTCAATCAATGCAGAGAGATGTTGAAACCGTTACAGCCCTTTAAAATACAGTTTTAGTTGACTTCCAGAAGTTAAAGTTATTCTTATAAATTGAGTTTTGGATATACGTTTGGAAAGCAACACACACCAGGGAACCCGCACAAGCTTGTTTGGGTGTGAAAGAGCTTTGTTAGTTCTGACTCTTCTAGCATGTATTCAGCATCGCATTCGTCAAGTTTGTATTTAATTTATCACCCGACATGTTTTCATCCAAATATAGAAAGCTTTTATTTGACAATTTCAGCAAAAATATCATACAATTCCAGTTTAATTGTACAGTTTGTTAAATACCTAAATACACTTTTACAGTTGCAATGTCAGTAGAAAAAAATATTGGATATTTTTTATGAGATACAAAATGTACACTTTCCTACACATGAAAATCCACACATGTACACAACATGGTGTAAATGGCCGATCATGGCCACTGACATTAAAAACCTATGCCCTTTTAAAACAATATGAACTCTGGTCTTAAAGTTCACCACTTAAATAAAAAAGTATTTTGATATTACAACAAAAAGTGGCAGCACATTTACCCTTACCTTACTCCACAAACTGTGGAAAAGTATTGAATACAAAAGGAAATGTGTTTGACAACATGAACTGGATTTTTCCACTGTAAAATGATTTGTATAGAGGAATATCTTGTACACAGTGATAAAAATATGCAATCTATAACAAGTCAATGTAATGTGTCATTAAGACTCAACCTATTGTTTTTATTGATGTACTAAAAACATACTTTACATGTGCAATGGAAAGGTACAATGTACTCTAATGAGCAAAAGAAAAACACAAAAAAAAAAAAAATGTACTCAAAGGGATACAGTTAGCAACACTGTGGGCAATACGTTCAATTGTCCAATTTCCCAGAGAGATCATTTAAGTCCAGTTCTGTGGTCAAATGTAAAACAATTGTTAATTGTTTAAAGCTCAAATGAATGGTTACAATAATTGGGACACAACACCAAAAACAACAGCTAAAAACCCAGCTAAAAAGAGGCTCAATTGCTCAGTTAAGTTTCTCTCAATATAATTGGCAAAGTTTCTTATTTCCGGAAAAAGTACTGAAGAACTAGGTATCATATCAGCAGGGATTTCAAATCACTAACATCATCTTCTTTGTGTGGTATGTTTAAAAATCCACTTTTTTATCTAATGTTTAACCGAAAGGAATCAAGTTATTTTGTAAAACAAAGGAGACACTTCTAAGATATAAGGTACTTTAGTAGTACAACAAAAATACTTATACAGTGTTTCAATACAGCCCACAATGTTGCTATGTGTATTCAGCCCTCAACACAAGTGTGTGTCAAGTACAGTGTTTGTATTAAACAGTCACAACAGTCCTTCACAATAAAGTCCCATGATTGAACAGCCCTGATTGCACTACTGATCTGAACAGGACTTTAACACATCACCCAGAAAACAGTGTTTTAAAATGAACCTTCAAAGAAAAACAGTAGGAAACATGAAATAAATCAGGCTGTAAAAGGTCAGGTGGGTTTTCGCTTCTGTCCTGTTTGGTCCTGTAGTGAAATCCTGGCTACATCAGAGACTCAGTGGTCTGCAGCAGCAATTCCCTCTCCCCTCTTAACAATCTGACAATGTACAAGTTGTCCAGGCATGTAGCGAGAAGGTCAGGGGAAAAAAGGACACAGGAACCCTGAACTAAATTTAAATCGCCATGGTCTTCTATCAGGTGTGCAAAGGCAGGATCTTTTTCTCAGAGAAAGACGGTTTGCCATATTGAATAAAAGGATTAGTGTTGGATTTTCAACAAAGATAATGTTATAAGGTGTCAATTGTTGGCCAAGTCTACAATTAGTCTTTAAAATATATGTATTTACTATTTATATATACTTGTCTATATTAAATATTTTATTATGTGATCTTAAAAGTGTTCTAACCTGAACAGAAGCCTGTCATTTTAGCAAACAATTCTGTCCCAGTTAGCCTAATTTGTGACTTAAAAGTACCTTTTCTAAGGTATGTCGAGTATAGGACCTGTTGTTTTGGACTGTTGACATCTTATCAAGCACAATACCTGATAATGACGCATACTGTACATTAGGGCTGCACGATATATCGTGTCGTGACGATAATCGCGATATGCACATGCGCAATATTTACATCGCAGGACGTGCGATTTTTTAAACAAAAAATTTAAAAAAATTATATATATATTTTTTTTAGGACTTGTGGTATTAAGTAGGCACATTAACTCAAACACGTCATGTTACAATTATTTTGCTGCTTGCTACAAAAGGAAAACTTGCGCGGCTCTCATGTCAGGGGTACTTGAGTGAGTGACATGCAGGCTCTGCATGCACAGCAAACCACCAATCACAATCAAATCTCCAAAGCAAACGGACCGGGTGATTAAAGGAAAAACACTGAATAAAGTAGTTTCATGTGTTTCTCCAGGGCAGTTCGGCGCTGCTAACCGAGCTAGCTCAGCTTGTAACTTAAGATCCAGACGTCCGTGACTAAAATCCTTCATCCGGTTAAATATAGTTAAAAAAATACCAATCGTATAGCATTAAAGTTCAAGAAAGGATGGTTTGCGGAAAGAAAACGGTCTTTTCTTCAATTCCTGTATGTTTTCATTTCGCAATATATATCGCAGGGGGGAAAATCGCAATGTCAGTTTTTTCCGATATCGTGCAGCCCTACTGTACATTGTTCTTTTTCACAAAACCAGATTAGAGAATGGGTGCAGGCGACATACAAGGAAATGCCAGGAAATCACGTTGAGCAGGAAACTAATCAGCTAAATCAAAGGTTTAAATGAGAACATAACATTTAATTAAAACAGAAAGAAAAACAATAGGGTAAAACAAAATGTAGCAAACAACAATTCCCTTTCCCATAAAAGTACTTTGGATTGAACAGGTGGGAAAACAACAAAACAGCATCGTGTAGTGATTAAACGGGTCTTCTTAGGGCTAATAGTTTCAAGGCAGGAGGAAAATGTGGTGGGAAACTAAGTGTCTTTAGCTCTATTCAAAGCCAGAAGTTACATGTGTGTTCATTGAGAGAGCCATATAAGGCTCACAAAGCCAGAGGCACCCTCAATGTCCAGCACCAGAGTCGAGGTCAACTCATCTTTCATTTGAAATGAGATTCAGGAGAAGTTTTTTGATGTAAAGATTCTTAGTTTTCAAGAAAAGTCACATCCTGAATAGATTGAATTGTTTCCTATGCTGATGTAGACATATTTGGCCCACACACACACGTACACACACACTTTTTCAGAAAATACACACACCTATCTAATCCTCTTCCAACAAGGCACGAAGATTTCATTCAAGTTTATCATTACACAAGTGCTTAATGCATTTTAAACCCCCCATTCGTCTCAATCCCAGAGCTACCTCAGCGAGCCTATCCAGAGTGATTATCCTATTCGTTTCCCTGAACGCTAAAGTGATGTGTCAGCTCGGCAGCCGGCCAATCGTGCGGCCCTGCTGTGAATCAGCTGGCCTGACAGTCACAGAGCCAGTCATCCAGCCAGGCAGGCGTCCATTTGCAGTCCCACCCGCTGCTTTTGCGCCGCGACCCTGCGCTCGGCAGAATGTGACGGGGTCGTTCCGGCGACTGATCAGCATGAGTCGTGCAGGGGAAAGCAAAGGGCGAACAGGAAGCAGGGGGGGGGGGGACTCTAAGAGGTGTGACAGCATCCACCACCACCCCCCTCACAACAAACAATCCCTTAGCCAGCAAGAGTTGGCCTGAACAAACCCCCGGCATTGGATAGTGCTCGCATCCGAAGAATAAAAGAAGAAGTGGCACAGTGACAAACCCGCGGACGAGTCATCAATAAATACAGCCAGCAAAGTTCAGAACAGAGGGAAAAAAAGGCATGAGGGGCATTAAAGAGGTCGCTGTTCTACTTTCTTTTTCTATTTCCACCTGCTACATTCAGAGCAGCTCGGGCCCCACAGTGGCCACAGAGAGTTGGTGGGGGGGAGGGGAGCAGGGGACACGAGGGGAGGATGAAGGAGGGAACAGAAGGTGGATGAGGGTTGTAAAAGAGAATCAATTCACCAGGTGATTTTCAGAGTGGTTCTGCCTGGCTTCACCCAGGTGTCAGGATGACTTTGGCTCAGCTGGAGCAGCCACCTCCTCACCTCCCCAGGGAGGTTGTCAGAGCTGGAGAGACATAAGGGGATTTGAGAGGGAAGAATGGAAAAGGTGCAGTCATGCAGGCAGATAGAGACGGACGTGCAGGCGGAGGCGGACCAGAAGAGACAGAAGGAGAAAGAGATGGAGTCAGCGGATAAAGGTGGATAGACAGAGAAAATTGAGAATACAAAACTATGCAAGGGAACAGAAAGGCAACGGATAAAGGCAGAGAACATTTTAAAACAAAAGGGAATGAAAAAAAGGGAGACGAGATAACCAATCACCAGCCAAATCAGGAAGTGAGACAAACCAACCACCACAGCAACGCCGTGACAGAGCAAATACATCTCACACTAAATCACTTTTAAACACACACCCATCTATCAAAGCTCAACTCAGTCTTCCCTCTGACTGATGTGTTTAAACAACTTCCCTCACGGGATCCCATCATGCCTCAGTCTGAGTGACCCTAAGAGAAACAGCTGCCACCTTCAGGTAAACGGGGAACCAAATGAATGTAAAACCCCTTTTCCCAGCAGCAGCAGCAGCAGCAGCAGCAGATCAACGTCTGTGTGCGTCAGGAGTGTTTTCGTGGATGCTGCAGGGCCTCAGTTGCCGCCCCGGTTGAATTGTTCCAACACGGTGGAGTTGGTCTTCTCAAAAACCCACTGCTGTGTGGGGGCGGAGGGGTCGCACGTGTTCATGAAGATTCGCCGCTCGTTGGGGCTGCAGTCGATACAACTGTTACTGACCGTGTGATACAGACTCTTATCCTGGAGGAAGGTTGAAGAAACACAAAAGATTGTCTAAATAACAAAATTAGGATTTCTTTCATTGTAACATTTTCACCTTGAAGTCCATTTTTCTTCAAGCATGAAATTAATTATGTTGAAACTTGCGCTGGTGATGGTGATGACACTTTAACCTTTCAAATCTGTAATTAATTCATCATTAATACACTAAACCAGTGGTTCTCAACTGGTCAGGCCTCGGGGGCTACTTTTTCTTTTGTCAATGAATCGCGACCCAACATTTTGAACCACTCAAATCTATTCAACAACATTTTTTGCTGTAATATATACGCTTTTCAGCATACAATATTAATTAAAGTGAAGTAACCTACAGTGCATATATCCCTTCACAGAAGTAAAGTATGCTTTTAAAAAAGGTTTAATGAGATGATGGAATCAAAGCTGAACGTAAAAAGGCACACATGCTCAGAGGGGTCTGGGGGGATTCTCCCCCAGAAGATTTTTTGAAATACTAACATATAAACTACGCATTCTGGTACACTCTGAGAAGAAAATAAATAAATCTATTACTACCCGACATATTAATAATGTTATGCCATTGTTTGTTCTGACAGCTGAACTTGCTGCTCCATACAGAGAGAAGAGCAAAGAGGAGATAGTCTGTGTGAATTACTTTAAATTGTGGGTAGGGTAGATGGCCCCCATTGTTCTGTGACCTGTCAATCATCAAACTGGGGGTCATATTTCATTATGTGTTCATTTTTATTATTTTACCGCAAAGTTATTCTCTGTGGGGACTTCCGGCAACAATCTTGATTCTGATTGGCCAGAAGACTTGAAAAAACACTTTTTTTCACTCACATCTGCGAAACGGGTCTGCTGACCCAACAGTTGAGAACCACTGCACTAAACTGTACTAATTAGCAGGCAGACTTAAATATTTGTACATTTATTATAAAAAAGTTTTGACTGATTTGTCTTTTTCTCTCTGTTTACTGCTGAAGACTTGCTTGTTTATGATAAAACCTTAAATCCTAGAGCTTTTTTTATGTTTTATAAATACAATTCTGGCCTGATATATGGCATGTTTTTGTTTTAACCGAGCTGAAATGCATAACAACAGCATAATGAGGTCCTTTGAATATCCATCAGCTGCAGGGCAGTTTCTGTTTTAATGTAAAACTTTACTGAATGATTAAGTGACCTCAAAAGTCATTTATTTCAAGGCCGTTACGTTATAAACTTTGTTGTTTTGTGAAAAAAAAGGAAGGGGGAACAAAAGAGCAGAGCGGCTGATATAAATAGAGATAATGTATTTCTGTGTTCAGTTCACACTCTGCTGTGCCGTACCTTTCTGTAGCGCCACAGCTGGTTGCCCTTCATACCGTGACAGTCGTACAGGGTGACGGGGCTGTTGTGTGAAACGGCATCGAAACAGACTTTCTTAGTGTGTATGGGGTCGCCCACCCGGATGTCCTCTCTCCATCCGAATGTGAACACCTGCAGGCAAAAGTAAACACATCCTTTACTCAAGTAGAAGTACAGATACACGTGTTTAAAAATAAACTGGTAGAAGTACTAACTAAACTTCTTTACTCAAGTAAAAGTAAAGAAGTATGGGCTTTGAAATGCACTTAAGTAAAAAGTACCCATAACTACTAGCTGTTTTAAAGAGTAACTGACCTCCCTTTATATTAATAGAACAATAATGTCATTGTTAGCTAATGAATGTTTCCATGCTGAACAATGGCAAAATTACAACGTTCTCATTGATCGCTCTTCTTTAGAGAAGACCAGGAAATGATGGATACACGGATCGTGTTAAAATCAATAGGCACTCAATGACTCTAAATAATAATGATCACGCCACCAAACACAGATTAAAACTAAAGTAACGAGCCTGTTTTGAAAATGTAAGAAGTTGAAAATACAGGTATTTGTGTTAAAAATGTAAGAATTAAAATTTAAAAGTCGGCAGAAAAATAAGTAGTGGAGTAAAGTACTGATACCAGAAAAATGTACTTAAGTATAGTAATTAAGTATTTGTATTTGTACTTAAGTACAGTAACAAAGTATTTGTACTCCACTACTTCCCACCTCTGCCTGCAGGAAACAAACCCCAGTTGTAATGCCACATTATTTCAAGTCAAAACATTCACATACTAAAACATCGGGATGGCTGATAAATGACAAGATAGACCATGAAAGCCATAACCATGAAAGTCTCTTTGATACAATCAAGTTGGAGAGGAAGAAGCTATGCTCTTAAAAAATGTACTTTTGATTAACTTGATAAAGCAGCTAAAGATATTCTGTTCTGTGTGTTCCGGGTAAAAGTGCTGTGCCGCCATTAGGGCACATTATTGTATTAACATACAAATAAATAATACAGCATGGGAATATACACTCTGTGCCTTGGACTTTCTTTGTGAATCTTCATGAACTGTATCTCCTATAAGGGCTCGGGATTTCACTAATGCACTTAGTCTTACATAGTTGAAGCTCTATTCAGACATTTCATCTGAGGATCACAAGGCTGTGTTGCCTCTTTGGATAAAAACTGATCCAATGTATCAGACTTAATGACTAAAGCTGTTCATTGTGACTTGTGTAGGTTGTTAGTGTGACTGTATTTAGATGAAACATGGTTAAGGATCCACTTTGACAATTGAATATTGCATATAAATTGCAATTATTGCATACTATAAAGAGTCTAAACAGAGATAAATTGATCAAAACTAAAAGTTTACAACTGTGTACACAAGCCTTTCAAAGCATTTTATGAAGTGTATAACTTAACATTTACAGACTGTTATACGGTTAAGAGCTAACAAGTGGACCTTATATTCAGATTTTAGTGACAAATGAACATTAATGCTTAACTATTACGTTCAAATAGTGGAGAAATCTTAAAAATACTTTGGCTGAAATCAAAACAACATCTATATTTGCATGTTGACATCTGTCTGGAAGAAGGCGGTAAAACATGAAATATACTTTAAACATAGCTGCAAAAGAATGTGAATTATAGTCTTGATAGAAAAAACTAAGCGCACTTTGTTATCTAACCATAACCATATTTGACCAAACTAAATTAGAATCTCTACAGCCTGTAAACTGGAGCAGCGTTGGCCACTTGGACATCACTAAGACTTCCTGAATGAGTCCCTCGTCTCCTCATAGAAAATAGAAAATCCCTGACAAGCACAGCTGTCGGAGCGTCTCCTGTGAAAGCAGTGAATCAATATCTCATTGATGCTGAATACCGATTGCAACGATGAGATGATGAAACTACAGTGCATCTTCAGATTAGAGCAATTAAAGTGTCAGAGGCACAGCGTTTCAGCTGGGGAAACAAAAGGAGACATTCAATCCATTCATTTTATATTAGGATCTTGGTTTAAAGATCTTCGGTGTGACGTGTGAGAGCGAACACACTCCTTTGGAATAATGCATAGATAATGAAGCAGCACAAAGTAGTGTTTACTGTTTATATGTCCTTGTAAGTTCATATGACATGTGAGTGTGTAGAAAGAAGAAGACATGTATTTAATAAGGAGACAAGCTATCGACAAAGACGCATCTTCACTATAATTTCAAATACAGTCTAAAGACTTAGAAGAAGGGTATTTCTTTTATTAACTTATATATGTTTCCACCAGGCTGTCAGGAGACTGACATATATATTCTTATATTCGGGATTGTGGGAAACGGTATTTCGATCTCTGTCTGTACGCACAAACTGAAAGATTGACAATAAAGTTGACTTTAACTCTGACTTTTTCGTTTTGCTCACCTGTCCATGGCTCCAGCTGACGTCGCCCCGCCCCTTCACGCAGCTCTCCAGGCGGATGGGACTCCCGGATACAACGTGTTTACTCTCCAGACACATGTCGCTTCCCACGTTACGCACCTATAATCAAACACACACATCAGCAAAGTCTCACACAAGTAAACAAACCCGTCAACCGACACGATCATCATTTATACGACAGGAGTTTTAAGTCTGTGACAGTAACTGGAGCTTTTTCCTATAAAACCATCACACAGGCACTAAATTGTTGAGGCAGATTCAAGTTTTTCGAATTAGACCCTTAGTTTGGTATATTTCGGGAGGCAATTAAATGCAAATGAGTTTCTGATTCACATTGAGTGAATGTGCTCTCCTCTCTGAGTGCTGTCAGAGCAGATTTCAGCCTGCTGCGACAGACAGATAGGATTATTACAGCCAAATGGCCACAGTTTTCTTGACAGCCTCTTGAGTTATTTTAGAAGAAGCTGTTACTAATGATGCTAATTGTCTAATGGTTATATTGAGATATCAAAACCTAGATGCTCAGCATTTGAGAATATAATGTCGACTTCATTCGTGGCAAATCGTTTTTTTGTCTTAGAATGTGACAACACAAAAATAGAAAAACTAAATATCAAAAATGTGGTTGAATAACTTTTCATTCTAATCAGGAGTACTGTCAACTGAGCTTTTTACCAAATCACATACAAATGCTTATGATTTTAAGGTGAATGTGGACCCATTAATAACTAAAGAGACACTTTCACACCCAAACTTTGTCTTGAAAAAAAGAACTTTAAAGGAAGGTGAAAGAAACAACCCTGGATATAGTTGCTCTAAAGCGTACATTTCTAACACAGCACTTCAGATGCTCTGATGTCAAATATTTCTTATCTTAGAGTCATGGTTTTAAATTTGGCAAACCTATCATTGAGACTAATTCCTCAACCCTTTTTGTGTTTAAGGTATGGGAGCTGACTGTACCTCTCCCCATGCTCCAGCAGGGGGCTCCACTGGTGGATAGTGTTTGGGCAGATCCCAGGCCACCTTGTCCATGAACCACTTGAAGTTCATGCAGTTGAGGCGGATCCTCAGTTCCTTCTGGGCCGACATGTCTCCTGCTGACAGGTGACGGTACTCAGGCCGGCGCTGGTAGATGTATTCGGCGTACTCGTCCATCCACACCTCGGCCACACGTTTCAGATTCTGAAATGAGAAAAAAACTCTTATGTTAAAGCTAAAGATTCCATATGGATGAACTTGAAATGAAAATAATATATTTTGTGTGCAAACATTGGAGCTACCGTGACAATAAACTGGTGCCCGCAAGGAAAGAAGCCAGACAAAAGGGATTTTCAGTTTTCTCATTTTGATCAGGCAGCAATGGATGTAAACTAATATATTTGGCTTATTCTGTTGCAGAGTAAGGAGATAATTCACTGTGGGTTGGTCATTATGAGAAAGGCCACTCACTTTACACAGTCATTACATCCATTGGCTACCTTGGATATTGATGAGTGCAGCTTTAAGTTGTTGTTTACAAGGATTGGGGGTTAAGAGGTAACAATTTGGAGCTCAGAGCTACTTCAATATATCTAATCCACTCCTAAACCCACCACTGATTCAGGTCATAAGAGTCAAGTGATTCCCATTGCACACTATCTTGTAGGAAAACAGCTGCCAGCAATGTGGATACGTTATCATACTCTGTTTATAGTATGTACACACAGTATTCAAATCATGTGGCTTGTTAGCAGATTTTTGTGTTTCTGGACTTATTGAAAAAGAGAGTAAGACATCATCTTTATATGATGTTTTTATTCATCTGACATGACAAGATGATCAAAGCCGCTCAGCAAAAAGGCAGCCAGTCATCTTTCAGTACCTGTCAACAGTCTTGGAAGGCGTGGGAGGAGAACATAATAGTAGCAACTTGTCATGAGTCATGGAAACATTTAAGATACATAGTCCAATTTGTGCTAATGTACAGGACAGGGTGGATACATACAAAACTAACTATTTCCAGCTATTATTTTTCACGTGGCATGTTAATTAAAACAGGTACAGCCTTTTACCTGAAACTCTCATTAGAAAAAGGATGATTTTCATTTTAAACTTAATCAAAAGCACATGACTTGTTTGGCGGTCTTTAGAGTCGAAATACATGATATTTATGTGAAACCGTCAAAAACATATATTTGTTTATCTTTATTATTTACACTTTCGAAGCAAAACTTTCCAGGTGAAGTAGAGTTCAATGGCTCTACTGTATCTCCTTTAATGTTGAATGGACTTAAGTGAGGAACTGCGGATTCTCTCTCACGCACACATGCAAACACGCACGAGACATGTGCGCGTGCACACACACACACACACACACACACACACAGATTGTCTGAGAAAAAAAAGCTGTTTTTCCAGCCATGAAACCATTAAATGGATGACACTTGTCCACAGAATCATCTATGTGTTAATATTGAAATAGAATACAAGGTAATACTGAACACTTTTTGTTTTTTAAACATATACAGTATGTCTCTTGCAAAAGTCAATGCAACAGGTGGCTCAGATTTCCCCGAAAACAGCTGCCTCTATGGTGTCAGTGACTTTGTGTGTAACTGGGATGATGCCAGTCATAAGAACCCAAATTATAAAGAATGGTTTGTTAATCAAGTTATATGTTATAATTACTCTAAGTTACAGTCTTATCCATTCCTGACAAGCAGCAATATAACAGCTAAAGAAAATCTGTTAAAATAGAAAGTTAAATACAGAGGAAACAGGGGAAATAACAGCATTCATCCCAGCCTCAGGTACAGTAAGTATTTCTGTATTAATAAACCTGCTGCCTGTCTGATATCAGCATTCAATACAGCTTCAGTGAAGGGCCAATGGTCAGACCGACGAGGCAAATATGGAAGCCAAGAGGTTTAATTACACATTCAGCCAAGCCAAACAGAGCCAGGTGTCAGACTGAGGCTGAGTCATGCATAATGAATAGGATTGAGCTACAGGCTAGATGATTATTTATTAAAAATGTCTCACACTGTGTCCAATTGTGGAAGCTCAATATTGGAAAAATGTAAATTGTATATTGAGGACCATAAGATTGATTCGTACCCATAAAGCAACTCAAGACAGTTGGGTCGGAGATTTGGAGGTGACATGCTAGTAGTGTTTAATGTTACCTTGTGCTACTAGCCTGTACAAAAGATGAGGAGCAGCTATCGGTCTGGTAAATTCACTCCTTTCAAACTCCAGTCTAACAGATTTTTTCAATTTCTGAGCCTGTAGTCTTCAGCACCATCCTAACCCCAACCCTCAAGTGACATCAATTAAGGCAATTCATGTATTCATTAATTTATATTTACATATGCAGTTGTGCACCCTGAGAACCACATTTTCTCTGTACAGTTGATGAAGTTGTTGTTAAACCTTGCAGGATGTATGGCTTTTGAAATAATGTGTTATCAAAACAGTTAAGTCAGTACCAAAAAAACTGTAATCTTTGATTCAAAGTCGTTGTCGATATCTGATGCTGAGGATTTTGCAACCTCCCTTATACATTGAAGGTGAATGGAATTAGTGACGCTTTAAGTAGCCAATTTATTAGACTCAAAACATTTCCTTTTTCCTCAGTGATCCACATACCTCACTGTTATCAGTAAAGATTAGGAACTATTTTGACTCAAGGGAAGAAAATTAGATTGGCATTCAATTCAATCTCCATACAGCATAAAAGCCCATGAGAACACAAAGGCAACAATCTATACATCCTTGTTTGTCCTTGTATCAACATTCTGTAAAACCATCTGCAGAGACTCACCCTGGCCAGGCTGACCCCACCAGGAACTTTGTAGGGGACGTACTTTCTGTAGATGTGTCCTACCCTCGAGCAAGGAATGTCTTCCATCCGGCCACCACACATCCACACCTACAGACACAGAGAGAGAGATATTTAGCCGTGATAAAGACCAATTATGTGCTGGTGTTTGTTTCACTAAACAGTGTAGATATCAGATGAGCTGTTTAAGTCAAGAAATAAGAAGGTTGAAACATAAGAGTGGAAAAAGTCAACACGTGGGAAGACATGATGAAGACAAAGCAATGGGGGGGAAAAGAAGGTTAGGATGTAAAGAAACGGAACGATGTAAAGAGTGGGAGGATGACAGAGAAACATCAAGCAATGTGTACATCAAGTACAAGGTTGGAAGCTATGGGTCTTGCTTCCTAGGAGAGGATAAAAAGACTAAATAAATATGAGATTAAAAACAGGTAAAGATATTTTATTTCAGGTTAGATACAAGCTTAAATAACCTCAGGTATTAACCCCATTTTATGGAGAGTGCAGGACACAATTCAGAACAACCTACGAAAATCACCCCAAAGTCTATGTGTTTGTAAATAGCATAAAGATCAAATGAGATCAAAGAGAACCAGTCAATAATGCTCTGCTAAATGACAAAAACTGACATTGGATTTGTGAGGGTACTTTTGGAGAGCAGAGCAACTTTTTAACTCCACAGGGTATGGGTATTATAAAAGCCAGATTGTGGGTGACGTGTAATTTATTGTAATCATACGAAACTATCCGATTCATTGCTTATCAAAAGTGTGGCTCAGTGATCTCTTTGATTAACAGTAGCTAATTGGTCTTTGAAAATGATCAATTTGACCCACTTTTCAAATGATTGTGTAGTGGGGTGTTCTCCAAGAATATTTGATACATAAATGTCAAACTTTTTAAACGCTATGCAAGGGATTCATGTGACTCTACAATCACAACCATGCTCGTTTAATCATTCTTCCCTTTTACCGATCTTGCCACAATATTCTACTCCTAAATCTGTTGTGATATTTCTCTTCCTTTTTGTTCTCCATACTGTGCTTTTATTCATAATGATTTCCAATGTATACACATGTTGAAGTTTGGCATTGTTCTCAAGGACACATGTCTGATGAGGGAAGTAGACAGGGGAAGCTCATTGAGTCAATAATATGGAAAATGTTTCTCATCGCCTGACTGATCGACTCTATCATTTCCATTCAGTGTGTTGTTATTCTGCATTGCTCCCCTTCCTGATTCTCCGGAGTGGACATCAGCTGGCTGCTATTTCAGTTCATTACTCCTTGTTAAGTTTGTTGCACCACTCCAGGTTTGACAAACAGAATCGGGGGAAATGGCAGATTAAATGCACCCTCTCTGCATCTGCTGTGGGGAAGGTCTGACCTGCTGTGCCAATCCTTTCCACCGTCTTCATCCCACACTGAAACACTCAAGCGCAATAACAGGGCGCCTCGCGGCGGAAGGATCTGGAGCTTGAGTTTTGTGCCGGTCAGATTAAATTGAAAGTCTCATCACTCACTTCAAACACACCAACTCTACAATAGGCTTACCTCAAACTATTAAGACTCAAACCATAGCACCATGGACTGAGATTGCTTTGCCATCTCTTTTAAAGACAATTATAACTTTATATATAGAGGGCTTTACAAAAACAAGTCAGAAAATGCAACAAAATTGGTGCCAGCCACTATTCTACATGTATAGTGCAGATGGCTTTGTTGAGCCATTTACCCCATACAACATCACCTGTATTTACATAAATATGCTTAATATCATTAATTATATGTATAGAAACCACAGACATCCTTTTTGAAGATAGTAGACAAAGATAAATCTGCTTTAGGTGAAACGGGAGAAACCAGATTTATTTGACTTACTCAGGTACCCTGGGGAGTTTGTGACCAACAGTATCACTCTGGAGTAAGTACCTGTTATATGTGTATCGTGTGCACATGAAGATGTAAATATATGCCTGTGTTCATGCAGTAAACGCAACAAACAGATTCTACATGTCATTCCAAATGAAGCTAGTGAAAAATCAAGACCTTCTGAAAACATTATTAAAGAAACATTTTTTTCATTTTTCAGTTATATTAAAGGATCAGAATTGTGTCTTTCTTGACTTGAATGCCATTCTCTGCTCACTGCGGTCCTTTTTTACGTACCTTCGGTTTGTTCCTTTTAAAACCGCAAATATAAAAGCTTCCATGAATGTCCTAGCCTATATGTTGCATCACTATCATTTTAGTATCAATAAGTAAAAGTAAATTAAAAAAAAGATTAAACATTAATATGAAGACGCAGCAGAAGTTGAAACGTATATGTCCAATAGAATACAAATACCTAGCAGAGGCCTTTGTGCTTAATTGAGTGAGACGACAAAGTCGTTCCTCTTTAGAGCAGTGATTGAATTATTATGACGGCCTTTTTGTCCGTCCAGAGCCCGCTGACGGACGCAGCGGAGGAGAGGGAGACCAGTTCAACATGCTGGCCAAGTCGCAGGCAGTTGTGGTCACGCAATATAATAATTCATGCTGAAGCACCAGAGAAAAGCATAATCTAATATGGTGTTCTGAGTATGATTCATGTGGAGAGTCTTCCATGCAACAGAGCAGGCTTATCTTAAATGACTAAAACAAGGGTTGAAACCATAATAGGGAATGTCTCATAGGCTTAACTATGTTTTTTTCTAAAGCTATTCAGCTAAATAGCTTTGGGTAAACTAATAAAACATTAGGAGAAGCATATGGAACATACTCTTTCCTCCTTTAAAGCAATTTAATGTTAAAACAAACCAGCTCATAATAAGCAATTGAGATAAGTAATTGCCTTGCCCTTGGATTTCTTCTGAATGATCTCTGAAAGAAACTGGGACAAACATCCCATAACTGATGACATTTTGTCCTTCCCAGTCTGTGAGTATCCGTAAATAAGCAGAACAGTAAAGGCAAAGCTTAAAAAACTATTTCAAAGCCTTTTGAGTTAGGATGGTAAAATAATAACTGAATACAATACTAATACATATTTCAGATTTGATTTAATCATCATTGTTCTACATGCAAAAACATATCTAGTGCTGCATTTTATATGTATATAAGGATGCATAATAATCATAATAACCCAATGTGAGTGTCAATAAAGCAATTACACTATACTTTAAAACAAGAAAAATCAGCAACTCAAATAGCTACAGTGTATGTATGTGCATTACTATGAAACAAACTGATAGTCAAACACCGACTGATGTCAAACACAAAACGTGGAAGAGTTCTCTGTCAGATTTAAGTGAACACTTAACATTTAAACCAAGGTCCCATTGAGTATCCATTACAGTATTTCCAACACTTCACTCAGACACTGCAGATCTGTGTGAGGTGGTGACATGTTTTATGTTTTACCTTAAAGGAGATCTCGTACTGTTCTCCTCCCCAGATCTCCAGACCTGTGTCGTACCCTCCGAGCTCCCAGAACCACTTCCTGTCCACAGCAAAGAGCCCACCTGCCATCACTGGTGACCTGCAAGACACAGAAGAGACACATTCACACACAATACTCGACAAAGAGGGAATCCAAATTTGACTTTAGCATTGTTTTCACAGAGAACATTTCTCTACACCCATCTTTTTCTAATCTCTCTGCTGTGATGTCATACAGTTTTGCGACAACATATGAACAGACACAATTTTTATTTTTAACTGACGTCAAGTGTAATTTAAGTGGTGCCTTTTTTTAATAAAATGTCAATATGACATTTGAGGTATCTTATTATATCACCATAACTACATTTCTGTAATCAGAAAGTTAATCAAATGATATTATTAGTTAATCTAATAATATTGTTAAACCCATGTCTTCTCTATGGAAGCCTCTGAGCCCTGCTAATACATATTAAAACAATTATTACTCTGTTTTCACTAAACGTTTTTCCTTAAATATAAAAGCAAGGTTTTTACATCTGATCTCATGCTGAATGATCAAATTAATTGTTAAAAATAATGTGAAAATGTGTCTAATATTTCACAACTGTTTACAGGCTGTGAGAGTTAGTTTCAGTACGTTCTATCCTGACCATAATTGTGTATTTGCCTGCTGTATGCACATGCATTTGTTTAGTCACCCAGTGACAATTCTGACTGGTATAACTAACTCTGCAGAGAAAAACATGTTGGTGAACTGCTGTTATAATTTAGAAACGCATTTTATTTTCCTATCTTTCTAAAAAAGGACAATCATAATCATTGCTCTTGTGTTTTTCACACTACTGGCCTGATTGGGTAACAGTGAAGTCCAAGACTTGTAACTTGTATGCTCGATAAAGAAAACACAAAGCCGACACACTCTTTTTCTCTACAGCATTGCTGAAGAGAATGCAGTGAATAGACTTTCATCAGGAAACAAAGGTAACCAATGGTGGCAACGGTTTGTTAGACGGCTCTAAGTGTAGTGATTGCAAGCTGTTGTGAGTTTACAGGAGTGTGTCAGCTCAGCATGGAGAGCGCAGCACTGTGTTTGCACTGATTTTTGGGGTGGAGATTGTTAGCTTTGTTGGATGGAGGGCGAAAAAACAAGCATACTTCACCTCCCCGAGTTGTGTGGAATGAAACACTGTGGCTTCAGGACAGACAACACTAATATCTCACAGCTCAGATGAAGCTTGTGAAGATGAGGATAATTTAAACTCAACAGGTTCCAGTTGAATTTACCCGAATATTAGCCAGAGGCATGTTCATGTACCTTGTTTGCCAATAAACATGGTTTACTTTTAGCATTAACTCTCAAACCACTGTTTGTCATCAACTATTAGATCTGGAGTCTAATTCAATTATTTGAGGACATTTGAATAATTTATTTTCTGCCATAAGGGTTTCATAGTCTGCTGAGCTTTTGCACAGCAGACAACTGAGTGAACATTAATCATTGTTACTCCAGGAGCTGGCTTTCAAATAAAGTGAAGAGGAAAGGGCTGAGCAAAAAGAGAAATGTCATAAAATAATAAAATAATTGGTGCTTTTACTTAACGCAGCGGGGGGGGCTTTACACATGTATTACAGCCGTGAAGTGTGCACAGCTGCCATGGCTAAGAGTAATGGTATAACATATTTTTAATATTGCTACATTTGATTTGAATGTTTTTGTACAAGAAAAACAGTCATTGTTCATTTCCAAATAAATGTAATATCAATTTTTTTCGCACCCAGGTTCTCAGCAAGCCGTAACACAAAATGTATTTCTTCAAAGAGAACTAAAGAAAGAAAATAGGTACAGCTCTGAATTTCAAGGCAATTACCGTCTCTATTATGTTTCTTTTTTTAAAAGGAAGTTTCAAAAACACAGCAAACAATGTGATTTGCACCAAACAACTGCAAACTATTTATAAGCCAACCAAAATGTGTGCTTTGAGGGATTCAAAGTTTTTAATTATTTTTTGACCAGACATTTCTTAGAGTTATCACTTACCAATTTTGCCGATTTTAAAATATTTGATTTTTTCAGAGTTGTTGTTGGTCTGCTTGTGATTTACCAACATTAGCCAATGGAAAAATATATTAGTTTCTTCAGCTGGCAACATTCATCCATCTTCCCTAGTCCCTGCTCTTTGGCAAGTGTCTACTGAATTTGATTTGAATGCTCAAGTTCATATTCTCCATTTTAGTCCATTGACCTTGAGGAGAAAGATGGTGTCAAGGCCTAAGCTTATAAATGAAACGGTGAAGCCAGAAGCAAAAAGAAAGGCAGAGGGAGAGGTGATGGCGCTGACAAAAGAGACAGTTACAGCAGTATGAGAGCAGGGATACAATCATACTCTCACACACACAACCACACACACACACACAATGGATTTTGCCTGCCCACCGTGCCTCATTCTCCGATGCGGCAATGTCAATCAGAATGAAAATGGAAATCTTTGCGACTCAAATTGGATTTGCACTGATGAAGGTCATTTCATTGGGCAAGAAGAGCAGACTAATTCACAAAATGAGGATTGATTCTGATTGTTCTGCAGCGCATTTGTTCTTCCTTGGTCTCTTATCTTCCTGCAGCACAGCCACCCTTCCCTGATGATACCTACTGTATTTCCCAGGACCCTCAAATAGTCTTTGGCATGCAGTCATAGAAATGTGCTGTCTAGATAATCCCCCAAAGCTCACACATGTAAGTGCCTGGCATCACTTGCAGAGTTATTTGGCCTTACAAATAGCAGAATATGTATCTGGGTTTATTTATTTATTTAGTTTCCATTACTTTAAAGTTACATGCCATGAAATGCTGCCTGTCAAGGAAGGAAAGGAAGCAATCCTAGACTATTGGTTCTGTTTGAACTTCAGTACTGCTACCTGGGCAAACATTAACTACACATGCAAGAAAAAGAAAGAAGAAAACAGACAAAATGGGACGTGAACCAAGGAATTCCCAATAATGCACATTTGCTGATGGCTATACATTACAGAGATTTTGGATTTTCATAGATCTATTTTTGTGACGCTGCCGTCAAATGTATCAAAGATAACTGCACTCACTCAAAGGGTTCACTGGGGTCATTTTTCTGCAGCTCATTAGGGATGGGTATCCGTTTATAGTACATTTCCCAGTCAAACGCCCCTCGCATGGCGTCCCCTGCCTGCGTCTCATAGCCAAAGTTGTCGTGGTCGATCACGTCGATCATCGGACACACGATGGTCTTTCTGTTATCTGCGATTCGATCTGAAGGAAACAAAGGAAGGAATATGGGGTTTGAAGAATTTTAATGACAAAAAATGGTTTATGAAGTGCTTCCAAAGGTTTTTTGGCTCTAAACGCCTATGGCGAAGAAAAGTCTACTTTTGACTCGTCTTGACAGATTGCAAATGTCTTGGAGCTGTGAACAGTTCAACCAAAGAGCGATGTTCCTTTCTCAGACTCTTTCATGTTATAGTCTTAACAGTCCTTGAGAGGTAAAAGTCTCCAAAGAAAGGAACATAAAGATTTGAGAAAAGTTTCCGTGTTGCGAAAACTAAGGTTTTGACTTGGCTGTAGAGTTGAGATTCAGATAAGTGGGTACATTGATATGTAAATCCAATAAGTTGTGTTTTACGGTTCCTCACCCAGCAATGGAGGTAGCCAGTTGACGTTGGCCTCACAGTGAGAGTCCAGGAAGGTGATGACTTCTCCTTTAGCAGCTTCGGCTCCCAGCAGGCGAGTCCTGATCAGCCCCTCCCTCTTCTTGGTCCTCAGGATGCGAACCTTTGGCAACCGCACCATGTACTTTTCTAGTGCTTCCTTGAGGTGCTCTACAGAGATCAAGACAGTGAAAGCAATATTAAGAATGGCTAGCTATTGCATCAGTATAATGGTATTGATTTCACAAAATGAGCCCCATGTTGTGTATTTGTGTATGCACGACAGATAAATTGGGCCGTAGTAACAAAAGGAGCTTCAGCAAGTTGTCTATAAATTGTAAAACGTTTCTCAATAACATCTTACAAAAAAGATCAAAAGAAAACTAAAGCATTAGCAGTCGCTATCAAACAAGACATCTGTCTATGTCACATGCTCCAGACTGTTTCCCTTTAGGCCTACATAACATTCTCACTATTATTGGGGGAACAAAATACTTTTTGCTTTAGAGACTTATTTTAATATCTTTGACTTCAATCATTAGAACCAATGTTACACTAAAGAGAAAGTATCCAACTGTGAGGAATGAAAATGAAATTGCCACCCCCCTGTAGTCATAAAGCCTTTTGGCAAACATTTATGTTTCTCATCATAAATTGCAATAATGCTCATGAACATTTCACCATACAAACTATGAAATGCCTATTACGGATTCAAGGAAGTGTCTCAGAGTTTAAATGTTCAGTTTATTGTCAGAGGAAAACAACATTTATTTGAAAAGCACTTGCACAACAAGTTCATCCAACACATGAGTCAGCTCAGATCAAAACAATTTCAAGTCTTTTTCAAGCAGCAGCAATACATGAAATCTCAGCAGAAAGGAACATGTAGGTAAGATGTACAGTATCTGCAGGAAGGTTGAAAAATATAGAGTTGCAGAAAAAGTCGAACCAAGAACTGAAAGCATTGATCAATCAAAGGGAGGGCTATTCATACACGTTTTTCTCGAATCTTTCCTCAAAGTTGCCTTGGACAGAAATCAATCCTGCCCTAAATGGAGCTTGTAAATCTTTCTCCTCGAATGTCAAGTCAGATCTGACAGGTCAATCAAAAAATTGGAGTGAGACTCAAGACCATGTTTCATTCGCTGCCTGTCTTCTGTCACCGTGTTTCCAAAGCTAAGACGCGGTCAACCATCAAAGAGAAACCCTGTGATGGAGATCCTGAACCCTGGCAGAGCTGTTTTTAGAACCCTATATTACTGAAGTTATAGCGTTTTTTGAGGAGTAAAACATTAGTGTGATAAAACCTTGATTTAAAAAGACAAAATAAAAGATTATGGTTTGGTAAAAGGTCAACAAAACTGAAATTGAATCAATACTATTATGTATCTCTCTCGCTTCATGTGACATATGTCTAAAGGTATCTGAACAATAATAGGCATCCATCATATGCATGTTTTTCAGTCTCAGTTTCACTTCATTTAATTCCATCTTTATTGCAGGAAGTCTGATAAAATACCATATGGTGCTAACCAACTGGCAATGGATGGTTCCAGATATCATGTTGTCCAACCTAAGCAGAGACCCAACCGACAACCATAGTGTTATGCTTAGCTTGTCTCCAGAGAGACTCCATTGTGTTTCTTACTGGTCTGTCTCCTGCAGCACAAACTGTTTTATATATAAATAAATCTGTTGTGTACCATAGAGACTCACACTCAATCACACATACAAACTGCTTCACAAACATGTTCCTCAGTCACTTTCAGTGCACAGATATTTGTTTTATAATATACATTTTCTACATCATTACACCAATTACTGTTAAGACAAGGAACTTTTAACTGGTTATGAAACAGTCTCGATGTAATACTGATGCCTTTACTTGACCTACATAAGTAATTTACACTATCAGCGACAATATTGGCTATTTCTACACAGTAGTTATTCTTAATTATTGTCATTATTGCAGTGGGGTCCGATTCTGGTGAAAACTGACAATAATCTGCGGGATATAACATATTTTTTTAGAAATATGTTTATATTAAGCAAATTATGGTATCAAAACAATTATAGCCCTGCCTAAACTAATAAGCAGGATAAATGCAGTGTAGCTTTTACTGTTATCTTGTTCATAGCAGTAACTGAAATAGATAAACCCTCCCATAGTTTATTTCAATGGGGTTAAAAACTTCATTATTACTCTTTATGGTCTGGAAGTTGTGGCCTTTTCCAAACCTTTGCGATACTTTTCCAAATGCTGATTTAATGGTCGAGGTGGCCTGGGTCCAACTACCCAATGCAGCTAAATTGATTAAAAAGCTAGATACCACCAGTGACGTGCAGTCAGGGGAGGCAGAGCCTCACCTGTCATACTCCAATGTAACGGAAAAACAACTAAAGAAAAACTAAATAATAATAAAATGTCTCCAATGATCTGTGTTGTAAATGTGATTTATGTTTGATTCCAATCGCTTTTTATAGTCAAAATCAGCAAATTTGCCGAGCTCCGCTACAACTACGGGTAGCGGTGAGAAGTGAGGCAGGGACGAGCTCTGCCTCACGTAAGCCCACAGTAACTTGCTGGAGCGCGGGCACTAATTTAGCGCGGGCACTTATTTTGTGAGCGCGCTCAAGCCAGCTACTGTGGGGTAAGGTGAGGCACAGATGAGCTCTGCCTCACCTCAAAATGCGTCACCTCACAGAAACTGGCTGGAAAGCGGGCCCTAAGCGCATGCCTGCACCATCTCGCTGTAGGTCACCAATGTAATGTTTGTAGATCCCTTTATTACATTTATCCTCGCCATCCATAGTCTCTAAATAACTTATACGTATATATGATATTTAGGCTCGCTGGTCTCATCATACAACGGCAATGAAAAAAGCACCAGGTGAGGCAGCCATAACCTCTGCCGCACTGAAGGGGGCGCAAGTGAGCCCACAGGTTCTTGTTGCTACTGTTATTCTACGCAGAGACGGTAGACAAACAACAAGCTAGACTTTTGAAACTACAGGAAGATAAGGAGGACTTCTACAAAAAAGTAATAGAGATTGTTGTCCAGAAGGATAGCATGGACTTCATCTTCAAGTGAAGGTAAGACCCCAATTGTAATGAAAATGGGATCTTACTAAGAAAGAACAATCCAATATTTAGAGTTTGGGTAGCCTATCCTTTTGTTGAACGGTCTGTTTAAAATTAATCGAAGAATCAGACTAAAAAAGCTTTTGAAAATAACCGAATATTTCGATTAAGGTCAAAATATAATATTTGTAAATCTGACTCTGAAAGAGTCAGTGCCTCACCAGCCATAAACCTCACCGCACGTCACTGGATACCACCCACACATTTTCACTAGCGGCGGCCCTATTGTGGAATGCAATAGAGGCCATAACCCTGTAACTCCATTATGATACAAACAGATTTATATTTAACTTTTTTTGCATCAGGCTCTAAACTTCAACAAAATGAAGTGACGTTGGCTTCCCAGTGAGCGTCCAGAGTTTATAAGGCCTGACAAAAAGGGTCATTATTTTCATAATATAGGCAGACATTAATAAAATATTACCCCCGTCCGTGTTCCTGATAGATAGCAGGTCTTACAAATGGGCCTCTGTCACTGAGGAACCCCCTCTTACACATCCACTAATTGGATTCAGAATATCAGAGAGGATGGAGGAAAGGCAGCAGTCCTTTTACACCTTCACAGGATAAACTGCCACTGTTAAAATAACAGGCAGAATGTCTTTATCTCTGCACTCTGTTGTTTCCTTCCTGCTTTATTCCTGCTCTCCTTTTGTCCACCCTTTGTTCCTTCTCTTCATCTTCCCTCTGTCACTCAGCTCGTCCTTCTGTTTTGATGCTGTTTGGCAGCAGCTGCCTCCTGGGGAGACGCTCTTGATTCTAACGGACAGCCGAGACACTGAAGACAGCAGGACCAGCCAAAACTAACAAACCTGAAGCCAGCAGGTCCTCACATCTGTCTCTCCCTCAATCCTTAGGTCCTGTCTTTTCTGTCATTTATTCTTTAATGAGCCTGAGTAAATGACAGCCCGTCTTCTCAAGTCACACAACATCAAAAGCCACTATGACTACTACGGACAAGAGAGTCCAAACCGGAGTGTTTGGGCAAGACCAGATCTGACAAGACTTAATTAAAGTAGAGCAAACCAAATAAGCAAGGGGCAGTAATCAAGACAAGAGAGTGGAGGGCTGTACGTCTAACTGTCACACAGGCCTCTGCTGGCCCATACTGAAGGCTTTACTTGGGATGCAAACTGTCTGAAATGGGTTTGCTCAAGCAAAACTGTTGCATATGTTAAAGTAACTGCAAACAAATTGATTATTTACCAAAGTGAAAGTAAAATCTTGAGGGTTGACTTTGAGCTTTGATTTGAAGGTGTTTACATCTATAGAAGATGGACATTGAAGGAACTGTACCCACATCCAATTCCCATGATTGGGCAGGAACATGTGTAATGTAATGTGTAATAGTTGTGTAATGTTTAAGGTTATACTATAAGCCTTTGCTTACAAGACAATTACACTTGATTGATTGCCAATAGAAATGTTCTGGGCAACTTTCTTTGGTTTTCAAGGCACATCCAACTGTCTGGAGGCCGCGGGGTAGACCCAGAACAAACCGTACGGATTATATATCACATCTGTCTTGGGAACGCCACAGGATCCCCCAGGAGCAACTGAAACAAGTTGCAAGGTAAAGGCACCTGGACTAACGTGCTTAGACTACAGCTACAACAACCCAACTCTCGATATGTGTCAGAAAAATGGAAGGATAGACGCTTGAGTGATTTCAAATCTAGTGTAGTACGGTACAAAAGTGATTATCAATACTAGATACTCTCTGACTGCCCTGTTCATTTTAAAGTGTTTTGTTATACAGTATTTGTTGGTTTGATGTGCCTCTTATATTTGTTTTTTATCGTGTAATCTTTTGTCCTTTGAATGTTTTTTTTATTTGTATTGTAAGAAGGTAAAGTAAAATGCATGACTTCTCTTGTACAACAAATTACTAATTAAACTGGCCACATAATTAATATGTGCTGCAGCTGAAAGGCTCCATAGGGTCGGTGCCACCTTTAGAGGAAAGGGCGAGCTTTCACCTGCATGATACCACCATTAATCAGCCCAGTAGCTATTAACCACTAATAGA